GTGAAGGAGGGGGGAGTTAAAGGGAGGAGGGGAGGAGGAGGGGAAAGGATAAAGGGAAGGAGAAGGGATGGAGAGGGGGAAAAAGGGGTAAAAGGGAGGAGGGGAAGGGTGAAGGGGGAGGAAAGAGGAAGAGGGGTTTGAGATGAGGAGGGGAAAGGGAGGAGGAGGGGAAGGGGAAAGGGTGAAGGGGAGGAGGAGGAGGAGAGGAAAAAGAGAAGAGGAAAGTGAAGGGAAAGGAGCGCGAAAGGGGAGGAGGAGGAGAGAGGAGGAGCCAAAAGGAATATAATGGGGGGGGGGGGGGGGGATCCAAGAAGAATTGGTGAAAGGACGGATTTGAGAACAAGTTTAGGACTCGAGGATGGGGAGGGTCAGAGAAGGAGAGTGAGGGAGGAGGACGGGTGGAGGGTCCGAAAGGATGGTATGGAGAAGAGAAAGGCGAGAAGGATGACGAAAGAGTAAAGAGAGAGAGAGAGAGAGAGAGAAGACGAGAGAAATGAAGAGAGAGAAGAGGCGAGAAGGAGAGAAGAGAGGAGAGAGAGAGAGAGGGGGAGGAAAAGAGAGAGAGAGAGACGAGGAGAGAGATAAGAAAGAGAAAAGAGAGAGAGGCGGGAGGATGACGAAAGAGAAGGATAAGGGAGGAAGAACGCAAGGACCCAATCAGGTTGCTAAGAAAGTGTAATGTTGACAGCCCGTCTTCCGACTCCGCGGTACCCGTCGCCTTGTTTCGCCCCCCCCCCCCCCCCCTCCCCCTCCCCTCCCCTCCCCCTCCCTATCCTCCCTCCCCCCCCCTATCCCCCGGTACCGTCGTCGCTTGTTTCGCCCCCCCCCCTCCCCCTCCTCCCTCCCCCCCCCCCCTTCCCCCTCTACGGACAACCCAACCAGAATACACATAACACCCGCCCTTGTATCCACACTGGAAAACACTCGCGTCACGCCGATACGCTCCGTGTGTGGCATTAAAGCAATATACTCCAGCATCTGGTGTATATCTTACAGCTGCACGTACGGAGAACTTCGGCACACAGCCTGCAGCAGTCCCGGTAACAAGATCTGCAGACGGATTGAATCTCGGCTAATAGGCGCCACCACACACACACACACACACACGCACACTATACACACACACACAACCACACACACACACACACAACACCACACACACACACACACACACACAACAACAACACACACACACACAACACACACACACACAACACACACACACACACACACGCACACACACACACACACACACACACACACACGCACACACACACCACACACACACACACACACACACACACACACACACCACACACACACACACACACACACACACACACACACACACAACACACACACACACACACACACACACACACACATCCTCTCTCTCGCCGTGTGACTAGCGTATTACACGGGAAATGGCAGACTATACGGGCGTGCTGTCACTGAAAACACACGTAATTTTCCCCCGTGTTGCCGCCCTTTCAAAACAAACTTTCCCGCGCGGTCCACAAATTACCCGCGTCTTGAGGAATCGCCAGCGACCGCGGGTACAAAGTCTCCTGCCTCTAATGCGTGTGTTTTGATTTTTATGATGATAATAATGTCTTTACTTTTTAATTTTACAATAATTTTTATAAATAATAATAATAATAATAATAATAATAATAATAATAATAATTAATAATAATAAATAATAATAAAATAATAAAATAATAATAATCATTAATAGTAATAGTAATAAATACAGTAATAGTAATAGTAATAATAGTAATAATAATAATGATAATATAATAATAATAGTCTTTATTACTATAAATATTTCTTTTTTGTGTAGCTAACGGTAAAACACTATCTAATGTGCTTGCGATTCAAATGATATCAATACTTCAAATAAAAAGGATAATACTATCAGAAATGACAGCATCTCAGAATGGACTTTAAATAACATTAAATATTTGATCAGCTTTGGATGGTTATCTCTTTTATATATATATATATATTATATATATATATATATATATATATATATATATATATATAATGTTTGTTTGTTTTTCTTTTTCTTTTCTTGTTTCCTTTCTTTTGTTTTTTCTTCTTTCTTTCTTTCTTCCTTCCTTCCTTTCCTTCTTTCTTTTCCATTACTTTTTATCACAGTTTCTCTTGCGTGTGTCTGCATCTAACCACAAACTGTGTAAATCTTTTAAATGACTTTTATTTGTCTGGTCTGAGGGCCGAAGGGGGAGGGAGGGAGGGAAAGAGAGGGAAGGGTTGTGGGTTCGAAAGGATAGGAGGAGGAAGAGAAGGAGGAGAAGAAGGAAGGAGGAAGAGGGGAAGACGAAGGAGGAGAGAAAGAGAGGAGGGGGAGGAGGAGGAGGAAGAGGAGGGGGAGGGAGGGAGGAGAGGAGGGGGAGGGGAGGGAGAGGATGGTGAGGGAAAGGAGGTCTAAGAAAGAGTTAGAGGAAGAAGGTGAGAGGGAGGAGGGGGAGAGGAAGTGAGGAGATTAAGGAGGAGAAAGAAAGGAAGAAGAAGAAGAAGAAGAAGAATAGAGAAGAAGAAGACCAGAGAAAGAGAAGAGGAATAGTGAGAGAGAGAAGGTGATGATGAAGACGGTGTGAGCAAAGTGAGTGAAGGTCTGGCGAAGAATCTCTCGTGCTAAGGCGCAGGACAGGGTAGGGGTAAGACCTCAGATGGGGGGGGGGGGTCTCAAGGAAGATGGCGAGCGGGACATATTAGAGTGAGGAAGCGATCGTAAAAGAAAGTTCCCAGGGATATGTCCTCGTCAGCATCATTCCAAATATCCTCTGATACGCTCTCACGACCCGGAAAAAAAAGTGGGTACAAAGAGTAACTGATTGCAACTTGACATTCAATCGCTCTCTTTTCTTTCAATTGCTTTCGTTCCAAGACATTCCACAAGCACAAGGTACTCGCATTAAACCGCAGATATGCCGTTTACCTGAAAACCTAATGAGCTGTTTTCATTATTGAAACTCATGAATTGTACCTTGGAGTTTGCGCACGTGTGAGAGAGTGTGAGTGAGTGAGTGAGTGTTGTGTTGTGTGTGTGTGTGTGTGTGTGTGTGTGTGTGTGTGTGTGTGTGTGTGTGTGTGTGTGTGTGTGTGTGTGTGTGTGTGTGTGTGTGGTGTGGTGTGGTGTGTGTGTGCGTGTGCGTGTGTGCGTATGCGTGCGTGCGTATGCGTGCGTGTGTGCGTGCGTGCGTGTGTGCGTATGCGTGCGCGTGTGCGATGCGTGCGTGTGTGCGTATGCGTATGCGTGCGTGTACGTGATGCATTCGTGCGTGCGTGTGTGCGTGGTGTGTGGGTCCGGAAATCTCATTTGACTTGCATGGCTTCCTCCCGTATTGCCAATCGGAAAACGATGATATTAACATGGGCATCGGAGGCAGGCAAAGATCCTTATTACCTGAAATTTGTGGAGGCAGTATCAGATTTCTCAGTGGCGATTTCGGGACTCTTTAGAATCTGGAAATTCTGTAATTTGATGACGAATGACACAACAAAGACATACATCAAACGCAAGCAGCAGGTAAATGCATACAAAAAAAAATGCACACAAAGACAAACACACACACACACACACACACACACACACACACACACACACACACACACACACACACACACACACACACACACACACACACACAACACACACACACACACACACATACACACACACACACACGCACGCACGCACGCACACGCACACGCACACACACGCACGCACGACGCACACACACACACACCACACACACAAATAATAAATAAATAAATGACAAATAAATAATTGATTATCAATAAAATAGAGTAAATAAATAAATAAATAATCGAAAAATAAGGAATAATATCAGGGATCTTCAATTTCCTTCAATATCAGGCCAATATAATTAGAACTACAGCATCATCAGCTGAAACTTATAATTACAAGCGAGGCCTCGAACATTAAATAAATAAGTAAAGCCGTGGACAAAACACTTGCAAAACATGTGTCATATTTTCAAAAAGCTAAAACTTTACCTATTTTGGTTAGGTCAACATCTGTATAAATAAATATGTAAAGCCGTGGACAAAACACGCAAAACACGTGTCATATTTTCAAAAAGTTAAAAGTTAACCTTTTTTGGTTAGGTCAGCATCTGTATAAATAAATAAGTAAAGCCGTGGACAAAACTCTTGCAAAACATGCATCAGATTTTCAAAAAGCTAAACCTTGACCTTTTTTGGTTAGGTCAGCATCTGCATAAATATATAAGTAAAGCTGTGGACAAAACTATTGCAAAACATGTGTCATATTTTCAAAAAGCTAAAACTTGACCTTTATTGGTTAGGTCAGGAGGCTTCCAGACTTTTGTCCTAGACTGTACATTCACACAATAATATCATATCTTCTACTCCAGAATCAATCACTCTCGAATGTTATGTCCTCAAACTATAACTTCAGTCTATTTCTTCTATCAATTTTCTAACATAACTTAAATCCTTCATCCTGTGAAATCATATCCCAATCGCACTGTTTTTAAAACCATAATTAACTGCTTAATTTACTTTCTATAACATGAACCATATTCATGTTGACAAATGTAGAAAAGGTATGAATGAGAATGGATATCTTCACAATACAAGAGATGTATTTAACCGGTTTCGATTATATCTTCATCAGAAATACATGATATTGTAATTTATTTCTGACGAAGATAGAATCAAAACCGGTCAAATACATCTCTTGTATTGTGAAGATATCCATTCTCTTTCATACCTTTTCTACATTTCTATAACATATTTTGGAAAGGTTCAGTACCTAATAATTAACAATAATGAGAATGGATAAAAACAATAAAAACAGTTTGTATTGTGTTCTGCATCCATCATCTATCACTGTTGAGATGGATAATTCATTTAACTGTCGACTTCGAATTTTGTAATGATAATAAAGAAGATTAAAAGTATAAAGGGTAGTTTTAAAGTACTGATGTTGGCTCTCATTTAATACATAACAAAGTTACAAACAATGATGGAATGATATAATTTCTACAATAAAATGTGTCAATAAAAAATCTATACATCTAAAAATGACTGATAAGAATATTCTTAGAATGAAATGTACAAAGAAATTTCATAATCCATCTCTTAAAAGCACTTCCTACATTAAACCATAATGAAACATATACTTCTAAATAAAAAAAATATGCAAATTAAAGCATATCGACTGAAAATCTTTAAGAATCGTTTTCCAGAAATAAAATACAATATCTGACCAGACCCTAAAACAGCTAACACAAGCTTACCAATAGGTTTTTAAAAATTGTACCAATTACTATCCTGAATCAGAATCATCCTGTTCTTCCTTGATTACAATATCAACATCCTCCTCCTCATTTAGCTCATACTTTATATTAGCAAAGGCCTCTGGATTCTTTACTCTCAAATCTGAAATGTGAAATCCAGCAAGTTCATAGCTCTCCATCTCTTTTCTGAGTAAAATTTCATCATCTGATAGTTCTTTCTTCACCTGAATCTCCTCTTCGTTGAATGAAAAGCCATCCTCTGATGGTTCTTTCTTCACCCGAGCCTCGAAGCCTGAGACACCTGATGCACTACTAACAGAACTTTCAAGTACTCTTTTCTTTTTATCAGAATTACCAAAACTAGATCCCTGCGATTCTGATTTTCTAGTTGACACATCTGGTCTTTCCAGCTCTTCCCTAAATAATACGTCATCATCTGTCATTTCTTTCTTCACATCAACAAGGTTGTCTGTAGTGCAATCATTGCCTTTATTATCACTGTTATTTTCACTCACAACTGTAACCAAATTCTGGTTGCAAGAACATTGGAATTTTTCCTTCCCACTTGAAACAACAGGTCTGGAGAATCTTGAGATGTAGACCATCTCCCCAGCATCTGAATGTTCTTGGGGAGATCCAACATAATCCTGAAGTTCATGCTGTAACTGAACCTTCTGTCCACATTTGGAACAAGCAATGGATTTTTTCCCAGCCTGCGTGACAACATGTATCTTTAATTTTGTAGGCTGAGTCTTATTCAAAGATGGTGGCATAGCTTTACCTGTGTCTAATACAGTAATTTTTACATCATCAGCTTGCTGTTGCATACTGACATCTGCAATATTTTTATCTGTACCACAGGACTGCTGTACCTTACTTACATGATAGATCCTATGGTTTTGGAATGAGGTCAAAGACTTGAAAGACTTATTACAAGGAATACATTTAAAAAAAGTACTGGCATTATCATAATTCATTAGGTCACTTTTAGATTGTAATGATGGAAGCTTCACATTGCGAAAAAAAACTGGTGATAAATTCTTTATCTTTTCATGAGCAGCTACATTTTTGATTCCCGTTTCTTTAATGCCATCAACTCTGCCAACATTCATCTTTCTATTTGTTTGTAGTTTCCCTACTTTTGATATGTATATTTTTTTTTCAGGTAAATGTACATTTGATCTTGTTAATTGGTTGGTTACATATTTTTTCAATTTACTATTATCAGCTTTTGCTTTGTCCATGTAATCATTACCTCCAGGTTTGTTTCCTTGGTGAAATATGTGTTCTTGAGCAATGAGGGCTCTTTCACTGTTGTATGGTTTTCTGTACACTTGTACACAATCTTCACCATTCACTTTCCTTTCTCTTCGAAGTGACACAAGTTCAGAATCATCCAAATTTTCCCTTGATATTTCTTTACCATTTTGTTTTCTAATAACACAAATCCTATTGGTACCCAGCAATATATCCTTCTTATTTGTTTGCATGGAACTTAATGAGGTCTGCATACCAGGAGACTTCTCTGCCTTGTGCATAATTTTTGCAAACTTGGGTGAACTACCAGTCTCATCTCCTATAATTGACCTTTTCCCACAGAATTCTGCAAGGGAACATCCTATAGGCAAATCAGGTTGTTTCTGTTGACTAAAATTTTCTGTCAAAAGCAATGATTTCCTCACTACATTTGGCACCACGACAGCTCTTGAATCGACTCTCTTTATGGCAATTAGACAATCATCTTTGCCATGTTTGTGACTTTCCTTTGGTTTGTTATGTTTTATGCTCGCTTCATCACTGCTGTCTTTTTCTTCATGTTCATGTAAATCTACCTGAGAGACATGGTCAGAGTTTTCATCAAGTAAAGCAAGTTTTGAGACATGGTCAGAGTTTTCATCGAGTGAAGCAGTTTGTGAGACATGTTTGGATTTTTCATCTAGTGAAGCAAACATGGATTTTTCATCTTGAAGCAACTTGAGACATGTTCAGATTTTTTTTTAACTATGTTCGGATTTTTCTTGAAGCAACTTGGGACATGTTCGGATTTTTATCTAGTGAAGCATTTGTTCAGATTTTTCATCTTGAAGCAACTTGCGAGACATGTTCAGATTTTTTATCTGTGAAGCAACTTGTGAGACATGTTTGGATTTTTTATCTAGTGAAGGAACTTGGGAGACATGTTCGG